CAGGGAGAGGCCCCAGCCCTTGTTCAGGATAAAAGTGAATACCAGAGATGCACTTGCCCGCAGAGCCCATGAGTGGCACAGGTTTGTGTTCCAATTAAAAAAAAAAAAAAAAAAAGAACAAGGAGACAGGGTAAGAGAAGTGAAGGGGACACGAGCCAGACAAGCACACACTGAGTTGCCTGGTGCCTCACAGACCACAGGCAAGAATGCAAGTGCCTCCTTTTGCTCCCTCCACCGCCCTCCTCTAGGGATGAGCAACCAGCCCAGTCCTTGTCTGGTGCCATGACAAGGTGGAACAAGGCAGCTCGGAAGAGACCACAGAAGGCTGTGGCTATACAAGCACCCAGGCCAAGAAAGACTTGTACGTGGACCACAAGGGCAGGGGTAGGGACGGGCGGAGCTGCTGTGGCCTTGCATGAAGCCATGCCTGCCCTCCCAGGGCCACGACAGGCCAGTCAAGACCTAGACCCTCTGGCTGGTATTGGCTCTCGGGCTGCCAAGACCTACTCTCTGTTCCTTCTGGCAGGTATCTGACTGACATGGCCTGGAGTGAAGTACAGGGGAACATCTTCCTACCACTTACAGAACAAAGAAGGGATTTTACCAGGCATAGTAGTTCATATCTATAATACCAGCACTCTGAGAGGCTGAGGCAGGAGGATCACAAATTCAAGTCCAGGCTGGGTAACTCAGTGAAACTCTATTTCAAAATTAAACAGAAAGGGGACAGAGGATGTAGGTTGTGTGAAGGCCCTAGGTTTAATCTCCAGTACCACTTCAAACAAGCAGTAATTTCAAAGGTACAAAAATGATCTCAAAGCTGCAGCCCCCGCCTTCCCTTCTCTCCCTAACCTACTCACAGCCCCAGCTTCCTTGCACGCGTGTGGGGCCTAAGACTGTGTACACAGCTGCCCTGTCCCGAACTGCCTTCTCTGATGACCTCCTCCAAGGGCACAAGCTGCATCACCACCAAATGTGCAAGGGGACTTGGGCTGCAGAGAGCGGAGACAAGCTAAGGGTATGTTCACAGACAAGGCACCGTGCTGTGCACCAGCCCTGGGCAGCGTGCAGTGCTCCCTGCCAGCCTCACATCTGTAGGAGGGTGCATGCGCTTCCTTACTGCCCTCTATCCACAGCCAGGTGGCCAGTCCTCACGGCCAGAGCAGTACCTTCTCCCCCTTCCTCGTGCTTAAGTAGAAACATATCAGAGTGCTGGGTGCCTCTGTCCACGTCTTTCTTGACTCTCTGTAAAAAGAAAAGGGTAGGTGAGAACCACCCCATAGCACTGATACAGCAGGGGAGGGTAGGAGGGCTCACTGTAAAGTGTGCCTTGGGCCCTTCTGACAGACATGTGACTATGGAAACCCATCTCACTGCAGTCCGGGCACTGGAGCAATGCGACAGTGCCCTCAGGCTTCCATGGCCAGCTGGCATGATGTGGGCAGACCCCACGGGTGGCACCGTGCATGGCAACACCACCACCTTCCAGAGAGTAACTCCATCAGCGCCCTGGAAACTGGCACCAGCTCTTAGCGCTGCATGCAGCCCTTCCTGAACCCTCAGCCTTGCGCCTCGTGGCTGGCTCCCCACTCAGCCAGGCCCTACGCAGCTGCAACCGCAGTGGATTCCACCTCTGCCTCACATCCAGTGCGTGTCAGCTGCTGAACAAGATGCTCACCCAGCAAGAGAGCTCTAATTCACTCTTCCCGGCCTTTTTCGGTACTAAAGTCTGGTCCTTAGGGCACCCCGGGAGTGGAAAGATGTGCCACACCTATGAAGCAGCACTGATCAGCAGCTGTTAACTGCTGTCCCTTTGTGTCCCTCATGTCCCTTTCGGCCCCAGGATAGCTGCTCTGATTCCCCTGTCACTGGTGATTATGTCCAGTGCACTGTTCAGGTGTCCTTACCTGGTCTGTCCGCTACTTCCCTTCTGGGAAGATGGTGTGAAGGCTGTGGGATTCCTGGACCTTCTCACTGTCACTGCAACCATCCCTACTGATAGCTTAGGTACCTCGCTGCACTGTTGGTCAGCTCCTGCCCTGGGAAGCTGCACTCTGTCCCCTACCCACCCTGTACTCTCCAGGACACCACCTGCCCTGCCAGGGTTCAGGAGTGCGGAGCTTCTGCTGCAGGGCAGATCACCTCCTCTTCCTTGGTCAGCTGTGCACAGCATGGCTCTGCTCACCATGGCTAAGAGCACATTCTGTACTCACGAGGAGCACTCTGCTGCACAGGCCACCCAGCTCTGGCCACCGGGAACACTATCTGCTCATTCTCGCGCCTCTTACACCCCTGTCAAGCTGCCTGAGAGCACGTCTGTACTTGTGGAGCTATAGGGTACTTGAGGCTCCCGCTGTTCAGAGAGGACCTAACTACACACACTGGAGTGTAGTGTGATAATGCCCTAGGCGCTTGTGAATGATAGTCTTATCACGCGGAACCGGGGACTGAACTCAGGCCCTCGCGCTTGCCAGAGAAGCACTTATTCCACTGAGCCATCTCCCTGGCCCGGTCTTATCACTTTTGAAAAAGTAAACAACCAATCCAGCTGTTTGGTTTTTTTGTCACTGAAAATGGAACTGCGGACCTTGTGCTTGCCAGGCAGGTGCTATGTCTGCCACTGAGCTACATCCCCGGTCCTCTGATTGTTCAGGGCTACTTTGTATGTCTGCCTGGGCCCAAGCACACAAAGCCAAGGAAGTCCAAGTTCCAGCACACATGAGGCCAGAACCTCAGGAAGAGGACATGGGGTGCTTTGGTTCTCCTTCTGGAAATATCATCCATCTATGGCACTTATGCCGTTTCTGCACATACGACTTGGTCACTAAGATCAGAGTGCCCTTCTTTCCATTGCAGTCCTGGGGATGGACACCAGGCAAGCACGGCACCCCTGAGCCGCACCCTGAGTCTCGTTTAGTAGGGGCGAACAGAGGGAACATTATCATGACTTCCACACCCCTTTTTCTAAATACAAGGGCTCAGGGTGGCCAAGAAATGAATTCACAGCCAGAGGTCTTATCTAGTGAAGGATTCAGCAACATCTCTACTCAAGTCACAGTTGGGCTTTAGCAGCGTCCTGGACGCCTGCACCTGCCTACGTTAACTGTGTTTTGCTGACAGCAACGTTTGCTGCCCAGAGTCAACTCTATCTCTGCTGTACCTTTTTCTAAAAGAGCACAGGGACTGAACTTGGGGCATCTGTCTCAATTTTCAGACAGGATCTAAGTTGCCCAGACTGGGCCAAAATTTGTAGCTCTCCTGCTTCAGCCTCCCCACATACTAAGAAAACAGGGGTACCCCTGGCTGACTGTAATGGCTGATATACTGTGTCAACTTGAAAACTTAGAAGTTTAATTAAGGGACTCAGCAGGAAGCCAGGGTCCTCTCTTTGTAAACATCCTGATCCTGGCAACAGGAGCGCACCTGCCCCCTCGCATGGGGGAGCTGGGGTGGCCTACTATAATATAAGGGAGGAAAAGAGCCTTGCTCTCCCCCTTTTGCTCCTGCTGCTTCTGCCACCCTGAGGTGTCGCCCCTGTGCCATGACCACCTCCCTTGGTGCCTGCTGAGTATGGACTACGACTCCACAAGGTGTGAGCTAAATAAACCCTTCCTCCCTTAATTTTGGGCAATGGATATTCTGTCTCAGCAAGGAGAGAAAAGTGACTAGGACATTGATATTTACACACTGTCCCTGAAAGCCTCCAGGACCAGGGCTGGGAATACCCATGCTGGAGGAGGGCTGACCTGCCCACAGGGCCGCAACGGCCTTCCAGAAGAGCCCGTTCCCTTTCTCAAGTGTCAGGGCTGCCGTACAAAGTCAATCTTTGTCTTTGAAGGGAAAACCAAAAACCTGCCTTCACCGCTCTTTCACTTTGGGTTACCTGTGCCACAAAGTACTTCTAGTAATGCAGGTGGTCAAAGTAGCTTTAAAATTCGTGCAGTTACATAAGTCTTCAAAGACAGATCTGACTATTAGAAAGTAAAATCCATATGACTTTTTAAAGATGTCAAACTCTCATCCAGGGAGCAGAATGCTCACTAGGATTCATGGACTAGAGGACTCAAAGGATGTCACATCTTGAAATTTCGCTCCAGGTGTGAGGCAAGTCTCAGCCATTCTGAGAACACAGCAGAGGAAAGGGAGGGAGGCTTTTTTATTATTTTTTAATTTTGTTTCTAAAACAAGGTCTCTCTATGCATCCTGGACTGGCCTTTGACTCACGGCGATCCCCCTGCCTCCAAAGGACTAGGATTGGGGCTGGGGAGATAGTCAGTGGAATAAGTGCTTGCCTGACAAGTGCAAGGTCCTGAGTTCGATCCCTGGTACCACCCAAAAAAAAAAAAAAAAAAAAAGGCTAGGATTACAGATGTGCACCACCAAGGACAGCTTTTTTTTTTTTTTTTAATAGAAATGTACCAGCTGATGTTAAAATTTATTTGTAAATGCATAGAACCTAGAATAGCAACAAGTTTGAAAGACCACCAAAGCTGGACCACAGCCTAACTTCAAGACACGGTGCACAGTAGAACAGCAGGTACTGGCACAATTCCAACAGTAAGGAGAAGGACAGGGCACACAGAATCAGCCTTCTCCTCCAGCCACTGGACTGTCTACACAGGTCCTAAGGCACCCAGCGGGAAGGTCTTCTGAACAAAGAGAGCTGCAACAAACACACCCTACCTCAGGACACAGACTAGCCTCAAAGGCTACTCAGGTCACACAGGAATGGCGCACAGAGGTCCCAGAACTCAACGTAACAGCTGACACCATCTCACCGTTAGGGGAAAGTGTAAGTGGGAGCCTTTGGTAGGGTACAGACAGAAAAATACCATCAGACTTTATGCAAACAAAGCTTCTGTTCCCCAACAAGTACTTGTAGAAGCAGGTGCGGTCAGGACAGGCATCGGGAAAGGATGGAGACTGGAGGCAGGACACTCCTGCAAGCCTTGATCAGACAGCAGGAGACATGGACACAAGCTTCAGGGAAGACCCACAAGTGGCCAATAAGCTCATGAGAAGCATGCACCCTCAGCTGTCATCAGAGAAATGTGATTTCAAACTCCTGAGAGAACCACACATGCACTGGAATAGCTTAAAAAAAAAGTCTGGCACCATCAAACGTGAACTCCAGGTGGTACTGGAACATGCTGACATGTGGGGTAGGTGTTTGGAAATCTATACCTACTGCCCCACTCAGGGCCTGGCAGCTCCTTTACCAGATCTGCCACTATGCAGAGCCTAGAGAATTGCTCTAGGCAGCCGTACTCCTGGCAGTGAGCCTGGAAATAGCACACCAGAAATGAACTGCAGTGCAGTCACAGATGACACAGCAAGGCATGGCGGTGCATGCCTGTGATCGCACTTGAGAGGCTGAGACAAGAGGTTCACTGCAAGTTCGAGACCAGCGTGGGCTACACAGTGAGGTCAAGGCCAGACTGGACGAGACAGTGAGACCCTGTCTCAAAAACCAAAATAAAGTCACAGATAGAAGAAAGTGTTAGGAAGTCACGAACTCAAAGCTCCAGGACAGGATGAGAGGGTCAGAGCAGTGCTTGTCTCTGAGGTGCAGGCAGAGGCTACACAGGCAAGGCCAACGGGATGAAGATGGCCACACCATGCACGCATGTGCACAGGCAGCACACACCTGAAGGCTACACACTACTCGTGGGAACTCCAAGTCACAAGCTCCATGCTGCTGACTAATGACATGCAAGCACTCAGGGGTTGACCTCTGTGCTCATCTTTGATCTACACCACGGCTGACTGGCAGGGTGGAGTACAGATGTACGCACAACAAGAGCAAAGAACAGTGAAGCAGGACAGCAGGGCTGGGTGGGCAGGCAAGCACAATTCCTCCAAGGGGCTATGTGCCTGAGAAGTTTCAAAACACAATACTTTAAAAACCCTAAAGGACATGCTGGTCATGTCTTGGGTCCACTATGTCCTGCTGGCAGAGTGCTGATAAGGGACGGACACGGGGAACTTGGGCCTGCTGGTCAGTGAAACAGGCTCCTGTGCAGATGTAAAAACAAGCCCGCTACCAGGAGGCAGGAGAGCTAAGCCTCGGCAGAGTCTGCAATGGAACATTGCATACTAGTAGTGTCCACAGCCTTGGAAGACCCCAAAGTACAGGATGGGTCACACTGCATTACTCTGGGGGGACATGGATTAAACCTTACTAAGGCTTGAAAATCATCTGTGTTCTAAGAAGAAAAATTAACGCTACTCTTGTTCACTTATAATTCACTAATTATTTGTATTAAGCTAACATGCCCTCTCACTTTGAAGCACCCACTCCTGGTGAGCTGAGAAGCAGCAGACAGAAGTACCCTTCCTGCTTCTTTCCTACACACAAGGTCTCACCTGCTTGGAGTAGCCTCCGTAGATGACAATGCTGCCCTGGGGAGTGACAGCCATCTGGCAGCCTGACCGGGGTGTGGGCCCAGACCCTGCCGGGGACAGCTTGCTCCATGTGAATGTGTCCAGGCTGAAGGCATACACATCACTGTAGTAGACATAGTCCCTGGTCGGAAGAGAACAGCACAAGCCATCAGCTGCGACAGTGCTATAAGGCAGAGCTTCTGATGGGGCACCGGTCTAAAGGCAAGTGCTCATTCTCACTGTGACCGGATTAAACTCACGTGAAAAGATGCAAACCTGTGAGTTTCATTTAAAAACCAGAAAGAACGCTAGCCCACAGAAGCACAGTAACTCAATCTAAATATCATCCTGTGTTTCCCTGCTTTGCCGGCAGATCACATTCTCCCACATGATTACATTAGGTTGCTCTGTGAGTAACTATAATCCAAGTGAACCATGGGGAGGCATTTACAGCCTGAGAAGAACTGTGGTGAGACCCGTGGACAGCACAGGATGAACAGGCAAACAGCAGAGCAGCCCACAAGGACTGAAGGGCAGAAGTGGCCCCTCTGCATTCCCAACCTTGATGAGGCAAGGAGGCCCTATCTGAGGCACCCCAGGGGCTCTGTAGCCCCACTGTGCTCAGTGCCCTGGGACACAGGTGCCAAAGGGTTCAGCACGCAATGAGGACTTGGGACAGAAATGGGGAGATCTGCTATCCCAGCTGACTCTCAGAACAAGACACTAGTCTCCAGCTGTGCAGGAAGACAAAGGATTCTACCCTGGTCAGACGTGACCACTCTTTCCTGGGTGAAGTGCTCAAGCCAGGCTGAGAAACACATAAGGAAACATGGCTGCTGGCCAGAGCTGGCCTCTAAATGCTGCTCTCCACCCAGTGCAGCTGGCACTGAGAAGCAGGGCTGCGGCCAGGCTGTGCCAAGGCTGCTGTAGCCCCATGAAGAGCCGGGGTGCAACCCGAGTTATGGCTGACACTCAGACCACATGGCCCTCCCGGGGGCAGCTAGCAACAGACTGTGGAGGCAGTTGATCCCAGCTTCTAGAAGCCTTTCTACATTCCACTTCTTCATCAGGTTTTAAACTATAGATTTCTAGTGAAGTAATTCTATTCTTCAAGTAAGAGAACTAGCACCTGCTTGGAGGACAACTCAGACAGTTGGTACTAAGTCAAATTAATTTAACTCAGTGGCATCAATGTGTGTAGTAGTACTGCCATCTTTCTATATGTATGACGTATTTCCTAGGGCCGGCCAGATAGCTCAGTGGATTAAAGAGCCTGCTTAGGCAGATGCAGGGGCCAGGAGTTTGATCTCCAGCCTGCCATGCTGGCCCCGCCCCGGGGTGCACTAAGACAGTGATTGAGACTGGGTGTGGTGGTGCGCCGCCTGTAAGCCCAGTGCTTGGGAGAACTGGAAGGGTCGCTAAAAGTCCAATCTGTGTAGTGAAACCTTGTAGACCTCATACTAAATGCTAAGTACAAAAAAAAGAAAGAAAAAATGTAAACAAGGTAACAAGGCTTTGAAAAAGGTTCTGGTTTCAAGACAGTTTCAAGTTAAAAGCCACTGTAAAACTTGATTTAATGTATAACCTATAAATTCAAAAGAGGAAGGGGCTGGGCTGTTCTTACAGCTGTCAGAGGGTGGCAGCATTTACGAGTATATGCAGAGGGGTCTTCCATGAAGTCCTCCACAGTGCTCCCAGAAAGACAGGCATGCCTGCTGTCAGTACTAACCTTGTACTCTCATGGAAGCCACCAAAAAGGATTAACTGTCTCTTCCAGGCCACCATCCGATGTCCACTCCGACCTGAAGGACCACCTGTTGCCCTAATGTCAAGCAGGGAAAAAGCCATGAAGTCAATTTCTGGTTGCTTTTTGAAAAAAACACTGATCTCTGTTTTCTAGGCACTTTCTGCATACATTTAGTCTGAACCACAAGCTACCATAACTACCTGGATAGTCTAGCTATCTATCCTTAAACTACTAGAATAAGAGAAGCCCTGGGAGATACTGCAGGGTCCTGAGTTCAATCCTGAGTACCTCAAAAAAAAGGAGAAAATAAAACTCTCTTAGATAGAACATAATAAGCTGGATTCCACACAATAAAAAAACTTTAAAATACACCATTAAAGACTTTAAAATAGATGATTTAAAAACTTTTAAATAGACCTCCTTGCTCAAAGCAAGGTGAGCAACAGATTAGGACAGATGCTATCACACATAAACAGATAAGTGGCTTGTACCCAGAATGCATGCAGGATTGTATTGTCACAGTAACATAAGTGACTCAATAAACGCATGGGTAACAAAGGTGAACAGGGAGTTCATAAGATCTAAAAATAGAAAGAATAGGAATAAATGAAGATGGCTAATAAGAACATAACCATATCATTTGTTGAAACTGTCCTTCCGATATGATTTGAAACTGTCTCATTGCTATCTGTTTGTCAATAAAACTTTGAGAAAAAAAAAAAAAAAGAACATAACCAAAGCTTGACATCATTAGCAGCAGAGAATACAAACTAGAACCAGAGGAGTCCTGCTACACTCAGCAGCAAGTGTGCTGTTGGGGACAGACATGGTCTGGCCATGCTCAGCCTCACAGAAGACACACTTAGCACGCCACCTGCCATCTACAGAAGACAACTCACTCGAGGGAGAAAACAGGTGCACACCAAGAACTACACACATATTCACTAAAGATTTAGGTCTGTCAGAAGACGGGGGCAGCTCTACATGGCTGTGCACAAGAATGATTCTAGGGGGCTGGAGAGATGGCTCAGTGGTCTAAGGCACCTACTTGGAACAAGCTTGGCAAAGCATCAGGGACCGCGGTTCAATCCCCCAGCACCACATGCCAGCCAGCCCCGCCCCCTGGTGGGCTGAGCTGGCCACACACACACACCACAAAAAAAAAAAAAAAAAAAAAAAAAAGAATGATTCTAGTTACTCAAGAGGCTCATGCAAGAGGATGGCAAGTTCGAGCCTGGCCTGGACAACTTAGAGAAACACTGTTTCAAAATATAATAAAAAGAACTGGGGCATACTGAGATATGTGAGGTTCAATCCCCAGTACTAAAAATAATAACAGCCCGCAAACAAAACACCTGGACAGCCTTCCCACAACGCACACATGGAACACAAACAAGTACACCTCAACAACAAAAGGCACACACCCAATACTATACCCAACCCCACAGGCCTGCCTGAGAAACACCACACCAGTCAGAAGCAGGGGCTGTATCACTGCATTTACACCAGATCCTTACAGAGGCAAGTCAACTGAGGGCTGACAGCAGGGTATGGGTGCGGGGCTGGGAGAGCAGAAGGGCAGACAGCTGAAGGGAACAGTCTGGGGTGATGGAAATGTTCTGTAACTGCACTGTGCTGGTGTGATTTACCTGTTGAAACATCTAACTCTATACCAAAAGATACATTTTACTGAATTTTATTATAATCATATATCAATAAATATGTATATAATAAAATAATACAGAAAAGCAAAGCCAGGCATGGTAGCACATGCCTGTAATCCCAGTACTCAAGAGGCTGAGGCAGGAGGATCACAGAGTTCCAGCCCAGCCTGGGCTACACAGTGAGTTCAAGGCCAGCTTGTACTACAGAAACCTTGTCTCAAACAGAACAGACAGACAGATGGACGGACAGATGGACGGATGGAACACAACAAAAAAGAGATACCTGGCCATCACAGAAGAGTGTTCATAAAATAGCAACTGAAACTACAGGTTACAAAATGTGTTACTATGTGGGATTCTAAACTAGGGGTCTTGAGTGGTTCTCATCACTGAACCGTGTCACCCTGATAAGCAGAGGGCAGAGTGACAGGCAGCCATGAGGAACTTGCGTGAGGGTGTATCTGCCTCATGCATGATGCCTTGGGCGGCTACAGCTGCACCTCTGGCCTGAGCTGCACACCCCGGGCCCAGAAGTTCTCGGGCTGCCACCCAGCAGCCAGCAAGGTCCCCAAGGTGCCTGAGGCCCTGCACAACAGCCTTTAGTGCCTCCCTGGGAGTCAGTGCCTGGCCTTCCGTGGTGCTTCTGGGCCCCCCATCCCAAGTCTCACCAGCTCCAAACAGTTGTCATGATCATCATGATCGTTTATATAACTTTCTATTTCTTCATTTATGTTCATGTAGATTTCCTCAAAACCCATATCCAGGATTTTAGGTAAAACCCCACAAAGGTCCTAACAAATACATCAATACACAGAATCTCAGTTAGCAGGAGCTGGAGTTTCCAGTCCCAGTGTACACACGCCCTCACTGGGATGCTGCCAGGGCCAACCCTCCCCAACCAGGCAGTTTTCCTCGGTCCTCAGAAGCATCAGCTCCTCACACTGGCAATGACCCTTCTGGTGTTATGCAAAAGGGCCGGTACACCTGTCCACAGGAAGTCACTCAGAAGGGACCAAGACCAGCTAGAACCCTGGCTGCAGAGAAAGGATTCTGGGTGGCATCATTATGTGCTAATGCCTCCTGTATCGCAACCTGCTAAATCGCTCCATTTCCAAGTAGAGGTGGCTTTTCTGTCTTGCTCAACCTCTACTTACATCCATACTATAGGGAAATATTTTATGAAAATCCTGCTCTGCCAGATCTGGTCCTGAAGATGGTTCTAGATGCCAAATCACCAACCAATTTACCCGGTTTCTTCCCCAGCTTTGTATCATCCACAAGTTACAAAGAATATTTTATTGCCAAAAGAAACTTTAAATGTGACAAGGTCCAAAAGAGAGGATCTGGGCAAGCAATGGTGACACCTGTAGGCTTGCTGGATGGGGCCACTGGATCACCCCAAGCAGACCCCAGTTATGTGGTCGGCATGATGAGAACTGCCCACACAGCACGAGGCCAGTACAGGGCAGGTAAGGAGCACAGCCACCTGCCCCTAGCTAGGCACAGTAGCTGCCTGTGAGCATGGCATGGGAAGGAGGACTACATACCCTGGTCAAGGGCCCACACAGTCTCTGAGAAATTTTAACATACAGTCATACCTCAGTACTGCTTTGAAACTTGATGAATTTGGGTCTCAAACTTTCCTGAATTTGCATTTTGATGGAAAAATTGTCCCAGTACTTTTGTTTGGTACTGCAAACTAAAGCTGGTAAGTGTCAAGGTCAACTGCCTTGCTTTGCACGCCCAACTACCCTTTCCAGCCAGAACAATCTGTTTGGTGCTTGTCACTATTGCTAGTTGTCACACCTCCCAGGAACAATTAGTCAGCACCCAGGCACCACTGCATCACTTTACAGTAGTGCCCCCTTAAAGCACAGGCCCAGGCCTGTGGTGGCTTCCTGTACAGGAATTGCTCTAGCCAAACCAGACCACACACAAAGGATTCAAAGCAGTTTCTGAGTGCACTGTGATGCACTAAAAAGGGAAAAATGGGCTGGCAAGACAGCTCAGGGGTCTAAAGTGCCTGCTCAGGCAAGCTTAGGCAGGCACAGGGGACCACCATTGGATCTGCAGCACTGCATGCCGCAGCAGCTCCGCCCTGAGGGTAGGCTGAGCTGGCCAAAATAAAAAATAAAATCAGGAATAAAAAGGGGTGGGGGAGACTTTTCCATAAAAAGGTTCTACATCTTCTTTTAGCCACCACAATAAAAGAAATTATTTATATTTGAATCTATTGCCATCAGTCCTAAATGTGGGGTCTTTAAAATTAGCATGCCCCACTCAGCCAGTCTATACACAGCACAGAAAGCATCCGTATCGTATGTATAACACTGTGGGCGCAGGCGCTTTCGGCTCCTCTGGGCTGTGCGCAGAATGGCATTCCCACAGGGCACGCTGCCAGCCAGTGTCACCAGGGCCCAGGTCGGGCTGCCGTGGTGACACTTGCAAAAAGTATCTATGCATCCAATGTCCCCACAGGCTTAGGGTGCAAAGAGAGTTGTACACGCTGCACACAAATGCTTGATTTAAAGCTTACACCTCACAGAAGTACAGAGTATACTACACTGCCACGCCAGGCCACCCAAGACATTCATTGCACAAAGGAACAATTTCTATGGTGACCCTGAGATACCAGGTCACGTGGCTACACAGTTGCGTGGCTTGCCCTCAGAATGAAAGGCTCCCTGCTCGGCCCACTCACAGTGCAGCACAGGGGCACACCCTTTTTCTTTCACAGAGCAGCCTTAGGGTTCAGCCCTGCTTTCCCAAGTATCACCCCTACCACAAACAAGGGGCTCAGTGGGTCTCCAGGATCCAGTCAGAGCACATGGCACCATCGGTAGCAGTCTCAAATTCAGGCAGTCTATGCAACTAGGTCGTTGTTTCATTTCAGCTCTTTCATTTTAGCGCCATTATGAAGTGTTCGGTTCATGCCAGGTACGGTCCTTTTGTGTGCAATTATTCATCACAACAAACCTGTAACTGTTATTGTCCTGTTCCCTCCTCAGAGATGAGAAAAATCAAGACTTCCAAGTCAAAAAGCCCACAATCCAGTCTACACATGGACAGACCCTACGTTATACCACAAAAAGCACAGGTCTTAGCAGCTACAAAAATCTATCATCAAATACTGACCCTGACAGCCTATCAGTGTTTTCCTATTCACATCCCCTCACCCCTTCCTGTTTTCCTCCACCATAGCCACACCGTCTCCCTGTCCTCTGTCTACATGACACACCCCTGACCACAGTGTGCAGGTGCCCACCAGGGAAGCATATGGACGCCTTCCACCAGGTCAGGCTTCACTGGAAGCCACTGCTCCCATCAATAAAAACCAAGAGATGTGCAGAGTGCTTGGGCCTGTATGGCAGACAGGAGGGACACTTGCGTTCCTGCTCACAACCTTTCATA